CCACTGACTCGCTGGGGCGGTAGCCACGCAACAGAAACTCCAAGAAGTGCGTTTTTGTTTGTACGTTTGCTGCATGAATCCCGTTCTTCATGTTGTGATCAAACATGAACGCCGACAAGGGAAGCCAACCCTCAGTGTTCTCTAAAGGGACGCAGGTGATAACTCTCTGCTCCGTGGTCGCCGGCTGCGTCATGACTAAGTTGTTGATGGCCTGTCAAGGGGTCACACGACAATGTTATCCACTGCAAAAGTGCGACACTGGTTTTGCCCGAGCCTCTTTCATGCTGTCTTTTGTCATGCGGTCTGCAACTTGTTGCCCGATGTTTCCTTTCCTCAGCATAACCTCGAACTGTGCATGAATCTTCTGCATAACGGCCGGCATCTCCGGCGTGTCCGTGTCATTCGTCTCCATTCTTGCTACGTTTCGTCAGAACCGGGCTATCCGTGCTTTCAGGACTAGCCAAATGCTGAGCAATCACGAGAAGTTAAGTGCAGGGGCAGATTCAGGTCAGGGCACACGACACGAACTGCACGGATGGGACACTTCTCTGTCTTATCGCGGCACAAAGTACGTCACTGCATCCTTGAAGTTCGTGTTGAACTCAAGTTTGTCGAGTTACATCCTTGAAACTCGTCTTGACCATGTTCGCCTTCGCCATGCGATCTGGTGTGCGCAGAGAAACCAGACTCGGCCAGCACATCTTACCTCCTCCGGAATGCCACCCTGATGTGGAAAGCTTCGTGGCGGTGCGGAGGTGCAAGCTGGACGTTCATCATTCCTGAGTTAGACTGAAAGTGCAATAGATAGTAGTGGAAGCAGTCTTACCACATCTAAACAACCGGATTCCAAACCAAGATTCCTCGAGGTCTCGGTCCGTTTCTTATGAATTCCAGTCTGGGGTATTCCTCCTGCCTGACCCCTGTTGCGACGCTGCGGTAGTACGTTGCAGCATGACGAAGATGCGGATAGTGCTTTTCAATGGATTCCGCCAGCTCCAGTACCTGTTGAGCTCTTTTTTCCTCCAGTTTGGGCCCGGTTGTTGCAGTCGTTGTATTTATTTGTCTGAAAAACTCTTCCGTGTCGCTGCGAACAGCAGTGGGCCAGCACAGTAGCGGTGCTTGACTGGCCTGCTTGTCACTCATGTACATTTTCATGATGGCAAATACGTCACTCTGGTTGCCGCAGTTCCTCATGCGAACAGGTACGCGTTCTGATAGCTGAATGCCACGGCCCTGATCCGGCAGAGCTGCAAACAGGGCCCAAATTCAGGGATGCTTCTGGCTCGGATTGACATCTGCCTTACACTTTGATGCTCCCCGCCTTCGCGTGGAAGAAAATGGAAGACATGTGGCACCCGCTTGTCAGACTTGCCTTCGGCTCGTTCCTGATACGCATGGAAAAACTGCACCGATTTTGGAAGGAGCTCGTCCCACTTGCGAACCTGCGGCAGACTGCAGCTTCTAATGTGTGGCCTCAAACTTACCCGACTGCGTGTGCTGAGTTGGAGCTCATAGTCTGGCCTGCGTCACATGTTCGCACTGCATCATCATTCCTTTATCTCGAAACATCGGCCCGATACTGTCCGTGAGGATTCTGCTGATGTCTTGAGGTGTCTGGATGTCCGTAGTTTGATTTAAAGCCGTTGTCACCAGGGCCAGTGTGGCGTCTCAGTAAACACATTCAGCTCATCAACAGTGCATTGCTGTGCATCAGCTACCACGCAGCAAAAAACTAACTTAAAGAACAGAATCCCTGCTGCCGAGTATCCCACATCCTCATGCGTGTGGCCTACCTGAAGATGGTTGTGTGAACTTGCTCGGAAATAGTTCATTTGCACCAAAGCGCATAGAAGCTTTGAAGTGCTCTGATGGCGAACTTCTTTCGTTGTGTTGTCTGCTTGTAAGTAGAACCTTGGTTCACCGATAGTTGCGTCGGAGTGATAAACTGAGACACGCGGTGCCAGAGTCATGCCAGGACACTCGTGGGGAAAAGGAAGATTCTTTCTTCTGTACCAGGAGAATGCCGTGTCCATCGCGCGCATGAGCTCAGAAGCAGCACAGCCACATACAGGCACATACAGGCACACCGGCGGCCCGACCGCAACAAAAAGAAGCACTCGAATCCGGAATGCGGTTGAGCTGCAATCTCCAACGTCCAATTCGCCCCAAGGCCCATGCCCTCATCACATGTGTAGAAGAATGCACCAACTCCGTGCACCAGGACAAGGGTGATGGTTACGTGGATGCCTCACAGGGATGCTGGGGAGTCGACTACTGAAATGTGTCACGGTTGCACTGCGGACACATGGGTTGCAACTCATCCCTCATGCTAATCAAGGCAAGACACGTGGATTCTTATCAAACGCGGACAATTTCGGAGTTCGTTGATCTGGAAATTTCGGGAGCATGGCTTTTGCCTTGTCGTAGCTGTCCAGTATGACACAAAGCAAGTCTCGTTGTGTTTTGCTACTTTCACGTGCTTGCCAATAGACCTCACGGTCCCTCCATTGTGTGATATGATGATCAAGAAGCTCGTTGCATAGTCGTACATGGAGGGTGAAGTCCTTCTTGCTCTCTGCGATGGCTGCTTTTAGTTTGGAGCAGGTAAAACATAAAGAGTGCGTGGACTTCTTCCTGAAACGAAGGCACGGTGACCAGCGCACAAACTCCGAGTAGAAGAGCGACCTTCCTGCCACATTCACATCCTGGGATCCCCTTGCACAAAATGCTTGGTACTGCGTGAATAAGGTGCTTCCGCTGCTGTGTGGCAGCTCTCGGACTGTCAATTGCGTAGGATCCGTATCAAAACTGATCTGCTCCGTTGCTGTCTGCATCTTGTAAGCAATGAGTCGTGTCAACATCCGTTTCTGCAACTCGGGCGTGCTGGTAGACAAGACCTCCGCTGTAGTGAACCTTGGCCTTGCCATGCACCCTCCGACTCGAAAAGTACAAATCACAATCCTGCACCATGTTTCTATCACAAAGAAGCCAAGACGCTTCGTGGTCATCGACTCTGCTGCACTGTGGTACATGTGCATAAAGAAAACTCTCAGAGAAGCCTGCTTCAAAGCTGGCCGTTTCGACGACCTCATTTTCCGTAGGTCCATCCCATGACAAACGGATTTGCAGCGCCTCAGCCTGCTCCGTCCGATTCCTAGAAGGCACAGAAAAGCCTGCCTGCAAACTGCATGACCTGCGATACTGTAGCGCAGCTTCTTCCCGCCACCTTGTTGTAAAGACCACAACAATCCGTCCTGGGCCGCTTTGGACAAGCTCCAGAAACTAGAGCACACGTTCGTCATGGTTTTTTTCGGTACGTGGCAGCCGCGTTCACAGCTGCAGGGATGCTTGCAAGCCTGTGCAATGCGCTTCGGTCTCATGCCGTTCTTGCTGTACGCATCCATTGCCCTATCTTCATCGCAGCGCACCGAGTGCAAACACTCCAGCCGGTCCAGGGTCAGGTCCACACGTGCCCACGCGGTACTTGAGGAGGAGGAGGAGCTTTCATCGTCGGATTCGTAGTATTCGTCTTCGTCGGATTCGGATGGCCTTGGCAATCCGGGTTTAGGTTCAAGGTTCAGCCTGAACATAATAGACCCCAAACCCTTGCTGGGACACAGACTCTGACTCCGTCAATTCGTAGCGCTGCAGCCCACCATTTCTGCGTTTCTTCTTCCTCGACTCAGACTCTGACTCTGTCAATTCGTACCGCTGCAGCGGAATATTGCGTTGAATACGTCGTTCTGGGATACTTTGACTGCTGGAGATGGGAGCTCCATTCATGAAGCCTTGCAGATCGAACTGCGGCGGCATAGCTGCTGTGTTCCTGACTTAATTCTCAAGTCATGCTGCCCTTAGCCATGTTCATTGTATTCAGGATTGGTCTGACATTGGTTTCATCCTATTGTAGGTCTACTTGACTCCCCGGTTCAGTCATACTGAGCCACACAAACAGAGCAATGAGCTTCCACAAGCTTGCTGCAAAAGTGCCGGACAACCGATTGCATTGCGGGCGATTCCGCAACTGAGACGCATTTCTTTTATGTGCGCGACTCTCCTAACACATGCGTGACATCTACCGCTCTGCACAAAACGCAAATGGCGGCCCCGATGCTTCGAAAGTGCATCATGTTGCCTCCCAAATCATGGAGATCCTGCAAGATTGAAGCTCTGGTGGTCCCAATGCATGGATATGGCCAAAAAGGAAACATACTGCTGCCCTGGGACACGCTCTGACAGGTTCTCCAGACTCAGCTTGTTGATGGGAGCGTCCATCAGCAGCATCACCTCTCTGCCTGTCAAAATACCCGATGGATGAAATTGCCTCATGTTGCCTCCCAACTCATGGAGCTCCTACATATGGACTGCAGGCCTAGTAAATATCGTTGATGTTTTCCCAGAAACAGGAATCGGCCGCCAGGTGTGAGGCACTGTAGCGGCCTGCATCGATTCTCTGGGCAAGACAATGGCAA